GGTTCCATTCTTTTGTCTGGGCCCTGTAGTGGATTACTGGGTGACTTCTGAATCGTCCCTTTCAGTCAATTGTGTATTATTTGTCTTAAAGGATACAGAAAGCTGTGTTAGGATTTCCCTTAAAAAGAAAGCAGACCAGTTTGAAAGTTCCTATCATTGCAAGAGCTTCACGCCATGTATAATCTGTGAAATGTATTAGAAAATAGGTTTCTAACTAAAATGGACAAATGTGTGTATATGTGTAGTGATAACTGTGACGGGTTAGACCCCCTTTTTGGGATGCCACCTGATGTACTTGGGTTTCACTAAGCCCCTCCTGCTCCACCAACCTGGATTCCCTCTCCGTTTTGCTGAATTAGGCTCTCTGGCTTTTTGCAGCGCACACACATAGGTAGGGCCACACCCAGGTGCAGACATAGACTTAAGTCAGCTTTGTGTGAGAGTATTCACCTAGCACTCACGTGCACACCCCCTTTGGTGAATAAACCCAAAATAATATTGTCTTGCGCTGTATAGAAAGATCTGCACAGTGCAAGCTCATAAAAATTCACCCTCTCCCTTAATGTGAAGAGAGAGATGCACAACTTCTTGCCCCCCCCCCCAGTTAGAAATTGGACAAACTGGGTTTAATAATAAACAAAACAAATTTATTAACTATAAAATTTATTAACTATATTAAGTGATTATAAGGGATAACAAACAGAACAAAGCAGATTACTAAGCAAATAAAACAAAACACGCATACTAAGCTTAAGATCTTAAAGAGACTGGTTTCAAGAAGTAATTTCTCACCCTAAATGTTATTTTAGGCAAGTTGCAGAGTTTCTGTAGCTTAGAGTTCCAGTTATTTATTCGTACAGACTGGACCCCTGTCTCAGTCTGGACTCATCCCTGCCTTTCCCCTCAGGTTAGTTCCTTTGTCCCTTCAGGTATTTTCAGCAGTCTTTCTTCTTGGGTACACAATGGAGGAGAGTCCAGATTAACCCCCTCCCCAGCCTCAAAAAGGATTTACCCCAGGCAGGAAACCTTTGTTTGATCCCCATCCGCCTACAGAGGAAAAGTACCAACAGTATCCACAGTATCCAAGATGGTATTTTGTATCAAGTGATCTTATCACCTGGCCTTGCAGTGTCAAAGCAACTATGAAACCAGGTTTATTTGCAATGTCCACAGGAAGGAACTCCAGGCCTTATTGGAAATCCACATCTTCAAAGACTCATTGCCATTTTCTAATGGCCCATTAAGGCTGATTGCTTATTGTCTGATGGGCGTTTCCCAAGTATACACACAGATGTACTTCTTACAGTCAATATTCCTAACTTTAGATACAGAAATGATACATGCATACAAATTTGATAATCACATTCAGTAAATTGTAACCTTTCCAATGATACCTTGTATGAGCCATCTTGCATAAAATATATCTTAGTTATGCCATATTCGTATCATAACCATGTTTCTATGAAGAATACGGGGTGTAGCGTCACAATAGCCATCTTGATTTTCAAGAGCAGCAGCATTTGTAAAATCAGAGAACCCAGTATCAGGGATTATAAAGAAGTCTGTAAACACTGGTTCCATAGTTGTGGATGACATTTTACAAAGACATTGTCTGTGCCCTATGCAGCTTACTATCTAAATCAGATAGATACAATACAGAACAATCTTGACTATTTGAACTTCACACATCCAAAACCCACTTTGTAAGCTGCTTGTATTCCCGCTCTACTCCTAACACAATACACAAAATTCAGAACCTAATTCCTGAAGTCCTATGTTGCTGCCAGCAGATCCAGTCTCCTCCTTACCTACAACATTTCTCTTACTATGCCCTACACAAACTCCAGCAAGGCAAGAGCATGATCCCAATCTCCTAAAGACAATAGGCCATTGGAACAAGTGAGATACTCATTTGAGTATGAATTGAGCCATCTAACTCCTTCTACTTGTTGGGAGATAACTACCACCGTAAGTTATACATCTGGAATCCACATGAACACAGATCATCTTGAAAGGTTCTGCTACCTGCAATCACTCAATTTTGACTAAGCCCGATCATACTAATGTCTGGACACACCCCAACTCCATGAAGGTTGATACCATCTCTTTCAGCTGCACTGGCACCGGACGTCCCCTGGCAGCACTGGACTTTGTGACATCTGAAAAACAATCTCTCTCCGTGGTCAGGTTCCACCATGGGAAATAATTGTTTTATATTCCACATATCCACCACAATAGAAGGCAATTATAGGAAAGGCCAATAGTTCCCTCCTCGATTCTTGGTATGCATTCCTATTCCTATTTGGTTCATTCCTTGGAGTTCCAAAGTCACTTCATTCTTCTCTGGGATGGCTCTACCATCTATCACTACCATTCCTTCAGTTCAAGGTTGTGGCCACAACAGTTCCTCTGTTTTGTTGGCCTTCAGGTAGTCCTCTGTTTGTTGCAGAGCCAAGTTCACCTAAGTCTCCATTCTTCCAGGCAGACTTTCCAAGTACTGCTCCAATACCATGAATTTCCCTACTATACAGGTTCCAGAAATTGTGTAAGATGCCTTTTAATGAAAGAGCAGTATGTAGATTGAATTAAGAAACTTTGCTGTTCCATTTATTTAAATTCCTAATGTGATGATGACTCAGTTAACAAGTCTGCTGTTTTAACAGCAGATACATGCTACGTCACACACACAACAGAGAGGTATAGCACAGGACATAGTTTGCTGTTCCAGGGAGTGAGAGCATTTTCTTTCTAAAGTGTTTTGTGTGTGTATGAATATGTCTCTAACCTGAGTAGCCAAAGCTTTCTTGCAGTATTAGCAGAAGGCTTCTCATAAGATAGATTTAAGCATTACATCACATGCCATTTGTCATTATTCTGCATATCAAGTCATGTTTCCACGTCAGTGTCCTGTTAGCACTTGTGCATTCCACCACTTCTGTGCCAAGTAAAGTGTTGTTATCCTTGGTCATTCAGGAGATGGGCAAAACCTCTTCCACAGGAAAGTTAAACCAACAGCCTCAGTTTGAACCTACTGTTTTGTAACTTCAACAGCTAAGCACATAAAATAATTATTAAAAGGCTACTGTCAACCTAAACATCACACTTCTGTCTGAATATATTTTACCCACTATTTTTAGAAGAAACACCTAATTTTACTCTATCTAAAATAGATTAAAACTTTATTTCCCTATATTTTCAATTTATTTTGTGTATAGTCCCCTCTACAGTCAGCCAGTTTAACTTGTAGCTTGTGTGGATCTGTTGTCCAGCACCAACGGAGAGAAAAACGTTTACAAAAAATAGGAAATTGTGATTATAAAATGCGCAGAAGTGTGCAGGGTGATTCAGGGGCAAGTATATCTGAAACTATTTTAAACTTTTTTTTACTGTTTTCAATTGATAGTATAATTTTCATTTGCGCATGAATACAAACTGAGACAGGCTGAGCGCTTCCAGATTAGCAGGAATAACCAGGTACAACAAGGTTTGGTGTGGCTGTGGGTTGCATATTCTGGTACAGAACTAAACGTGCTTTGCTAATATATATGGCCTATTAGTAAAAGCATGTGGTGAAACAATCTCAGATAAAAAGGTATTTGATTTTTATGTAAGGTGTATATCTGCACCTATCGCTTAAACTATGGGAAAGGGTCTGACTAACCTAAACAGGTACAATGCCTTCATAACCTGTGGACATATCAACAGGCATCTACATATGGAGGCACGGTGCAACAACTACTGTATCTTTGTTTTAGTCTAATCTCTCATCTAGGAATGTGTAGTCAAACGTCCATTCTAAATGTATGTGCCTATATTCAAAAGAATGGGTTATTACTAATCTAGTTTTGAGGCAGCCTTTCAAGATGGAGAATAACGTCTATGACCATTTACAGATTCTTTTTGGTTTGTTTAATCTATTGCCCGGCCTAAAATAGCGTACCTGGCAGAATGTACCTGGAGTGCTGCCACACACATTTGGTACATCGTGACGTGCTTTGTATTGTACATGAATAGAACACATGAGCACAGTAGGCAGAGATGAAGAAAAACACCTGAGTAAATATAGATTTAGGAGCTTAACTTTGGGCACTCAGTTTAAAATTTTTGACCAAGGATTTTGTAGCCTTTTGGACCAAATTCTGGACCTTTTCAAAACAGGATGCCTCTAGCCAATGTGCAAAAATGCATGCACAATTGGGCACCTAAATTTGTGGGCTCATTTCAGGCAATTGTTCTAAATTGTGATAGCTGCATACATGAGTTTGTGTATGCTGACACAGAGTCCTAGTTGAAGGCCAGAAGAGAACATCCCACCAGAGTCTAGGCTATCACCCAGTTATCCCTTGAAATGAACCCAATAACCTGGACTTTAGACTAAAGCATTACAGCCCTGGACAGACTAAAAAAAAAAACTATTGTGTGGCACAGGAAGAGACTAGCAGGGACTGAGGTGCACCAATGCCCCAAAATGGTGATGACCCTGGACACAAGGGTGAGAAAAGAACCCCAGGGATAGAGCCACACTTGAATGGTTAGTTGAGTTAATTAACGTGTTGATTAAGACGTGTTAACTAACACCACTGTGAGCGCTAGTGTAGACACCACACCAGCACCTACCATCGGTGGCCCGTCCAGGGGCGCTAGGTAAGATGCAGGCGCCACAGCTACATTCCCCTCCCCTCAGGCGGAGCAGCGGCGGGGCGATGAGGGACCAGGGAGCGCGCTACTGAAGAGGCCGCCTAATACCCAGCGGGGTGCTCGCCCCCGCCGTGCTGGACAGCGGAAGCGCAGGGCACGTATCCTGGCTCGAGCCCCGCCGGGAGCCCGCCAAAACTGCCTCCGCCCCCTGTCCAGCGAGCCGGGCCCTATCCCAGCCCCCACGCCACCCCTAATCCCTCCCGCCAGGCGCGAGCCCCAACTTAGCTCCCAGCCAGCTCCGCCCTGCTTCCATAGCGGCTCCCGCGGCCTCTCGCGAGGCTCCCGCCCCCACGTCACCGGCAAACCAGACGGCGACAACATGGCGGAGCGGAGGAGACATAGGAAGCGGATCCAGGTAGTGCAGCTTCCCTCGGGGACGCGTTGTGTCCTCCTGCCCTGCCTCTACTCCCGCTCGAGCCCCCTGCGGCTGGCCCTGCTCCCCATCCCTAAGGCCTGGAGGCCTCCTGCCTCCCCTTGCCCCCCCGCCTCTCGCCCCAGCCCCTGTCTCCCTCCCGTAAGGCCCCGCCAGAGTGCCCCTCTCCTCCCTGGAGCACCCCTGCCCTTCTCCCGCCTGGAGCCTGCGCGCCCCGCCGCATGCCCCTCTCCCCACCCGCGTGCAAAGCCCAGCCCACCTGTCCCGCTGGCACCCTGCATCATGTGAGCACACGCGGACCACCCTCGACATGCTACCCCTGTCGTGATATCGTAGCAATACATCACCCACCTCCTGTGGGTGCACCCACCCACCGCCTGTGCATGATCACATGCCCCCCTCCCCCCCACACAAACACTCCTGTGCAGAGGTGCACCCCCAGTGCGCTACACCTGTCGCAAACGCGCGGCTGTGCGCTGCCCACTGAATTAATGGGAATGACAATTTTCTTCTCTTGGAGGAGGGGGCAGAAGGGGTTTCCGCATTTAAGAACCAGTATTTTATAAAGAACGTCTGAATTTCTCATACCTTCTTGCAGCTTAAAGACCTATTCAGTTGTAAACAAAAATATGTGGAAGGGATTTTCTTCATAATATGGTTTAAAACGTTTCATTATTTTTCTTAAAGAGACCAGGTGGGTGAGGTAATATCTTTTATTGTAACAGCTTCTTTTGGTGAAAGAGATGAGCTTTTGTGAAATTTAGACAAACGATTACTTTTGTGAATAGTGGGTGTTTTTTCAGGTACAGTAAATCACCCCTCCTCCTTTCCCTCTCCCCCCAAAATCTTACATATTTAAATGTTTATTTAGACAAATACTAATGGGGGGGAGAGGAGTAAATAAATTTTTTCAGTAAATATTCAATTGGGGGAATAAAGTATTTATTACAGCTGGAACAATAAAGGCATCGGTAGTTCAGGTTGCCAAAACATATTGGGTGGGATCCAAGGTACTTAAGTTCCTAAATCCCAGTTTTGGTGCCACGGAGATCCATAAAACACCCACTAAATGCTGTAGGTGTCTAAACTCATTTGGCACCTAAGTTTTCAGGGTAAAAGTTCTCCTTTGTGCCTATGTTTATGTCTCTGAGAGTGTGCATGTCTACCTTCCTCAAGGTGTTGAGACACCATCTCCTGCCTAAACCTCAGAGCGATTCACAAGCCCAGGAAAGATAGGAATTTGGCTGCCTATCTCACATGCATGGCTGCCTATCTCACAAACTGGTAGGTGGCCTATGAATGTGCCTACCAGATTGGGTCCCATTCAGAATCTGGCCAAAGGAGGAGGAGGAGATGGTGCCCATCTTATAACTTTAGCCCCATGGTTAGAGCATTCACCTGGGATGTGGGAGATCCCGGTTCAATTCCCCCTTCTCTAGCAGAGGGGGAAGGAGGATTTGGACAGGGGTATCCCACATCTCTCAGGAGAGTGCCCTAATCATTGATGTGGGGTTCCCTCAAAGTCTCCTGCTGAAGCTTGTCCACCGTGGATAAATAATAAGTGAGTGGAGCAGAGGAACTGAAGCCAGGGTCTCTGACTTCCCAGGTGGATGCCTTACCCACTGTACTACAGTCATTATTTCCCTTTGCCTCTGGCCCGATGACTATTTAATGATTTATCCACAGTGGAACAGTCATTGAGTGAGAGAGAGTTTCTGAGAATTTACAAGTTATTTTGTTAAGTTAGTTTAAGTTAATTAAAGACAATCCTTTAAGAAATTAAGCAGCTGTCAATCTTTTCTCTGTCCCAAATGATCTTAACAATGGAATAATGCAGGCATTTCAGACTTCCCATATAGTTAAAATTAATTGAAATCTTGTGCAAGAGCACAGGGGGAACCGTGGAAGCACAGAGAGTCACCGACTAAGATCTCTTACCCTCCTTCACATATCACCAGTTTTGCTAATACAGCCCTCTCACTTAATAAATCAATTGCAAATTAAGGGTCAGATTCTCCAGTATGCTTAATGCTGCTCTGATGATGCAAAGCAGCTGTAAAACCATCTTAACTAGCTGACGTGCTCTGGCTGTTTTGGTGTACTGTTGAATTTGCCCCTAAATTTAAAATTTCAAAAAAAGATTTTGAGGTTGATATTACAGATCTTCAAATAATTAGAAATGTTTTATGGTAATATTCTTCTTAGGGTTCTTGTTTAGTATTCATATCTGAAAAAACCCAAGAGAAATTGAGACAAGAAACTGTATTAACATGGAATTAAGTTTGAGAATATATATCAAATATATCAGTAACTTCCCAGCTGAAAACATTATAGAGAAGTTGTAATGATCCTAAACCCAAGCATTACAAACCCAGAAAATGATGCCATGCAGGGAGGGGAATATGTGAAAAAATCTGTCTTTAGAAATAAATTTAATCTGGGATCACAAATACTACATTACTTCAGGGCAGAGATGAAGTTGTTTAGATTTCTTCACCATGTATTTTTTTTTTTTAACCTGAATATGTTTGGAGTTCTTTTAAATGTAACCTTAACTCTGAATTTCCTGGGTTTGTAATGTATCTTTTGGGAATAATTACACCATCCCTGTAATGTTGTATTACTGTTAAATTACTGATATATACTCTCAACCTTAACTTCATTTTAGCATATTTTGTCTGGGAATATATATGTGTGTGTATGCACATTTGTGAACTCATGGACGCAGTGTTCATGTAATGAATTGTAGAGTCATACAATACGTGTATTTATTCACTTTGATCATCTCACGTGCCCCGTGCTCACTAATCTATCACACTGGGACTTATTCTAGCATGCCATGCCTGTGATCAGTGTCAAACAGCCACCATTAAAAACCACCACCAACAAAAAACTGTCAGAGAAACGTTTCCTCTTTCTTCCTCCCAGTGTGGAATTTTCTGGGGGGGGAAAAAAATCATACCTGGTTTGAGGCCCAAGAAGGGCAGGATTCATTCTTATGCTTGTGACCTGTTCTTTTTTTTAACTTTTAAAAAAATTACTATTAAAAAAAGAAGAAACGGGAAAAAAAGCATAGATAGAACAAGAAAATAATCAGGTGCTTACAAGTTAGAACTGCATCCATTGCAATAGTATGATAAAATACTCTAAAGTGTCAGTGATTGAATTATTCTTTATATAGCAAACAAAATACAAACAAATAGGATTAAATACAGTCCAGGAAAACACTCACCAATAACAATTTACATATGACATTTAATATCTGGTGTAATAACAACCTAAGGCTTCAATCCTGCAAACACTCATACGCGAATTTAAAGCATTTAAGAAGTACTCCTGAATTTAACAGGACTATTCACATGCTTAAAGTTAAGTATGTGTATAAGAGTTGGCAAGACCAAGGCCTAAATTTGTAACACAAATACGTAGATAAACATATGTTGCCTTCTTAGCAGTTTCTCCATCATATATCAAACAGAATGTTGGAGATGAGTCCATGAAGAGAGTACTCTTTAATTTGCAGAGTTCTTAATTGGCCAAAATGAGTCAATTGTTTTTCTCAGCTTCTTGGACTGTCTTGGCATAGTTCAAAAAGGATCACCAGTTTTCAAAGTAATACTGCAAGCTGCCTCTATTAAGATAGTCAATTTTTCCTTTATAAGGGTATATCAGATTTTCTGGAACCAAGGGTGGAATCCATGAATCAATGTAGGTTCCTAACTTCTATTTAATCAGTGGAAGTTAGGAACCTTAATATAAGTTAGGAGTCGATGTTGTTTTGTGGACTCCACCCTAACTGTTTATTATAGGCCGGTGTTTAAGCTTCCAATTATCTGCCAGTGAATAGCTATAAAAAAGCCTGACTTTAAAGTCTGGCATTTTGTGGCCTTGCTGGGCAGTAAGCAGGAGCTTTATCCCATTGAGAAGGGAGAGATTCCCAGCAATGGGACATCTAGCCATGGAAGGTGCAAAGGTAACAGTATAGTCAAAACAATTTTATGTTTAGAAAAACTATTTAAAATAACTTCTTAGAGGGTTTTATGTGTCTGACATTGAATTCATAGTAATTAAGTCAAACGACTTTACAGGAGGAGAGAGATGAGATGAAAACAAGCTCCAATAAAAACTTTTAAACTTCTGTAAAATGTTCTTAAAATAGTTCTTTGCTGGTGGCTTTCAACAGAATGCAATGGCTAATAATATATATTCATAGGGTTTTAAAGAGGAGACTTTGCCTGGACGCGTGGCATAGAGAACAATGTATAATTAACCATAGCACACATTAAATGGATTAAAAGCTGGCTAACTGATAGGTGTCAAAATGTAATTGGAAACAGGGAATCATCAAGTAGGTGCATCTTTAGTGGGGTCCCACAGGGATCTGTTCTTGGCCCTACACTGTTTAACATTTTTATCAATGACCTGGAAGAAAACATAAAATCATCACTAAAAGTTTGCAGATGACACACAAATTGGGGGAATGGTAAATATTGAGGACAGGTCACTAATACACAGCAACCTGGATTGCTTGTTAAACTGAGCACAAACAATGTGCATTTTAGTATGACTAATGTAAATGTATTCATCTAGGAACAAAGAATGCAGGCCATACTCGCAAGAGAGGGGAACTCTATCCTGGAAAGCAGTGACTCTGAAAAAGATTTGGAGTCGTGATGGATTATCAGCTGAATATGATTTCCCAGTGTGATGCTGTAGCCAAAAGGACTAATACAATCCTTGGATGCATAAACAGGGGAATCTCGAGTAAGAGTAGAGAGGTTATTTTATCTTTGTATCTGGCACTGGTGCAACTGCTCCTGGAATACTGTGTCCAGTTCTGGTGTCCACAATTCTAAAAGGATGTTGAAAAATTGGAGAAGGTTCAAAGAAGAACCATGAGAATGATTAAAGGAATAGCAAACGTGCCTCATAGTGATAGACTCCGGGAGCTCAATTTATTTAATTTAACAAAGAGATGGTAACGGGGTGATTTGATTTCAGTCCACAAGTATCTACATGAGGAATACATATTTTTATAGTGGGCTCTTCCATCTAGCAGAGAGAGGTATAACACAATCCAGTAGCTGGAAGTTGAAACTAGACAAATTCACACTGGAAATAGGGTGTAAATTTTTAACAATGAGAATAATTAACCACTGGAACAATTTATCAAGATTCATGGTGGATTCTCCATCACTAATAATTTTTAAATCAAGATTGGATGTTTTTCTAAATGATATGCTCTAGGAATTATTTTAGGGAAATTTTGTGCCCTGTGCTATACAGGAGGTCAGACTAGATTACTACAGTTGGTGTTCTGGCCTTGGAATCTATTAATCTAGACATAGAACAATGAAGGAGGTTAGGCTCTTGATTTAGGCAAAATAAGAAAAAAATAAGTTTCTCATATCCCACCAGGACTTGTTTCCTTTCCATAGTTATGTAGTTTCTCATTTTCCCTATATCTAGTTGTGTTGTTTCTCTCCCTCTTGAAATCCCACCCTCATCTCTTTTCCTTTTTGTTCTGTTTCCACTCAGTGGTGTTTCCCTACCACACAGCTCTCTTCTGTGTAGTGTTCTGGCAGCAAGGTGAAATTTATTAAAATTTTGGTCTTTGAAGGATCAATAAAAGGGATTTTGGAGATAAAAATTCTAGTAAATCTTACTTGGGTGGCAGTTTAACTGAGGTAGTAGGAAGAGCACTATATAAAGAGAAAATCCTGAGGGAATCAGATTGCTAAAAATGGTGTGATACTTAGTGATATTGAGGTTTCTGAAGACCCAAGACTTTAATTTCTCTGAGAAAAGACTATCTGTGTATATATATAAAGGATGTATTTAAAAAAATAAAAAACTTTTCCTTTACAGACTCCAGGTTAATATCTGTTTAAGAAAAAGTCTAACTACATATGGTCAAAAAAGAAAAACACCACCACAATAAACCCCCCTCCCCCGTATACCTGTTACCTAAGAAACCTGATCCAATGTGCTCTTTCATCTCTTGTTAAAAAAACAAACATGTTTTATAACCTACAGTGAAACTATTCACTTAAACACAAAGTCGTCTTAGTCCAGTTCATTTGGACAGGTGTTCAGTTGAACATCACAGCTGGCACTTTGTTGGCAGTTTCAGAGACTAAACTGTTGACTGAATAGGCACTTAGGTTGAACTGCACTGGCCAAATTCTAAAGTGGATAATTATATGTGCCTAAAATTGTGCCTATACTTTCATTTGGATAAATAATTAATACTTATTAAATGCCTCTCATCTTAGTGTCACTGTATTTCACAAATATTAGTATATATGACCACTATTACATAGATGGAGAAACTGAGGCAAAGGTTGTGGTTGGCCAATGGCTCAGTGCAAGCTGGTGGCAGACATGGGAATAGAAATCCAGATTTCTTGACTTTCAGTCTGTTTCTCTAACCACTATACACAGCCTTTTGGGATTCAACTAGATGAAAGATGTGTTGGTTGTTATTTTTATGAAGACATTAACATCATAATCCTACAGTTTGTGGTTCTACATTTGGGTTGGAATCTGTGGGTAGGACATTGTACAATATCTTGCACCACTGTTTCCGTGGTTTACCCCTTTGGTGGATGAATAAAGGACTGATCTTCAGAAGTGACAATAGAACACTTTTTACTAAAACTAAACCAATTTTCCCATTTGTTAGGGCTCTTTTCAGTTAGTTTCATGGTGATTTTTTTAAAAAAGAGGTCAAATGCTGAGTGGAGAGACAGGGAGGGAGAATGGCAAGAGAGAGATGAGTGTACACATAAGAGATGTCAGATAGTAGAGGAGGAAGAAAAGAAGAACAAGAAAAACAGGAGATGTAGCAAAACAGGATATGAAGACAAAGATAATTTATTCCATGATGACAGCACTTACTGTCAGTCAGACAAGTAGTGTGGTCTTCAAAAAATCCAAGTCAGGTGTGGGGAAAGGACCAAATCACCTGGCATAAGGTTAGGAGAAAAAATTAGGCATGACCTTTGCTTTTAAAATGTTGTCTCCTCCTATTTTGTCATTAAATATTAATTTTGAAATGTGATGCTTTTAGTTGTTGCACAACAAAATTAAAGCTATGACTGAATATAATAAAGGGAAAAAATAGATGATTCTTTTTTAGTGAGAGAGATTTCTATGGGGACACAATGTCAATGATCAATAGTAGAGAGAGAGAAGGTTGGTGAGGTAATATCTTCAGTTGGACCAATAACAGATATTACCTCACCCACCTTGTCTCTCTATTAACCTGGGACCAATAGGACTACAAGAACATTGCAATGAGCAATATTGTTTTTTCTTAAAGAAAGGATGCATGTCTTACAGTTAAAATATAGTACCCTAGTAATCTGGAGATCTTGCTTCTAGGCCTGGTTCTGTAACAGGCTTCCTTTGAGGGACCTTGGACAACTCATATACCAGTCACTTGTCTACAGTTAGTCTTAGTCTTAGATCATCACTTGGGGCTAGATTTTCAGGGGTATTTAGGTGCCTAAAGGTAGAGGTAGGCACTTTTGTAAATCCCATTAAATATCTGAAGATGTAAGATAGACACTTAAATACTTTTGAAAATCTGACCCCCTAGCCTTTGTGCCTGAGTTTCCAATACTGACCTGCTTGATGGGTCTGAACGCTAATTCATGCCTGTAAAGTGCTTTGAGATCCTTGGATTAAATGTGTTATAAAAGAGCAAATGTGTTTTTTTTTTTTTTCCCCAGAGTGATATTTTTACTTTGACAGATTTCTTAAATGAATGCTAAAGATGTTACACAAACCAACAAAGACAAACAGAAAATAAATGTTCTCTCTCTAGGACACAGTGTAAGCTTTAATTTTTAATTTTGTTATTGTCTTCCATCTTTCATATGATTTAGACAAGATAATTGAGTTTCACATGCTGTACGCTTGAGGTCGTTTGCTTGAATTTTGTATAAAAATGTGTCCTGAATGAGTACATAATTCTTTGAAAAAGAGTGAAATTAACTTGTTAAATATAAATAAATAAAAATTAACTCATAAGTGAAGCCTGTCCCAGGTTCTAGGCACTCATGCCATCAGTTAAAAATACTCTTGGATCAAATACAATCCTTTTCAGACTAAACAGAAACACATTCTTTTCTCCACAAATGTCTCCCATCAGACAGCAAAACATCTGGACAGGCAAGTGAGTGAAAATTGGGGTTTACTATAAACTCAGTAACTCACAACTGTAACTTGAGCCTCTACATGCTTATATACTTTTATAAAATATCCACTACCGTAACTCCTATTAGGAGACCCATCTTGCAATGATTAATAGCTTATCTAAACAAATTTCTTTCAAATTCTTTCAAAATAGTACAGATCCTTAGCCCAAGCTAAGTCCCATTTGTGCCATTCCACTTAAAGATGCTGTGAAGGTGTAGTTGGGGAATACCCTTGTGAGACAGAACTGGTATAATAGAATGCCTGGGGGATTTTGGGGGGATAGCATGATGCTATACTCTGGTGATCCTATGTCAGCAGAACAACCCCTGAGGACCGCTGCTTTAATTTATGCCCCCACAAAGTGGGAGGAGGTGGTGGAAAGGAAAGGAGGCGGTGGAAACCAGTATTAATTTTATATTTTTATATTATAGGAAGTTGGTGAGCCGTTCAAAGAGGAGAAAGCTGTAGCCAAATACCTACGTTTCAACTGTCCAACAAAATCTACCAACATGATGGGCCACAGAGTTGATTATTTTATTGGTAAGATTACTTGTAACCAAATGATGATACTGCAAATTTACTAATATTGTACTTTTTTAAAATTTAGGTTACTAGTATTTTTAATTAGTAAGCTGTATATCATTTATAGCCCAGGGAAATTAACAAGGCACTTACTAGTCAGAAGATTACATTTACCAACCTGAAGTAGATGCAGAAGACACAGTCAGGAAAGCAGAAGTGAGGTCCAGAGTAAGACACCCTGGTGAAAAGCCCTATCTGTCTTCCACCCCTGTCTGCTGGTAAGGGAGGAGGACTGAGATTTCTAACAGGGAGTTATCCCTGCACCCTGCTTGGGGGGGTCTAATGTTCACATCAGTCACTGAGTAGCAGGTGTCTGATAAATCTGACACCACATCCCACCTCTAGCTGCTGAAAGGGAGAAGTAGCTTTCTGTCTCTTCCCCATCCTCTTGAGTATCCTGGTTGCTGTGAAAGGGACTCTGCTACTTTACTTCCCCAAAGCCTTCAAGCTGCTGTGGGGAAAGTATCAGCAAGTTCCCACTACACAACCCCTCTCTTAGTCTCCAGTTTTTGGGTCTTTTTTTCTCTGTGAATAAAGACAGAGCTTTGTCAAACAGCAGTAGCAGCATTAAACTAACATGATTCATGATAGCTTCACAGTATTCCTGTAGGTTCTGAATGGAAGCAGGAAACTAACCAGAATCTTGTTAATTTCATTGTCTTGTTGCCTCACTGAGCTATGAGGAGGAGTAGATGTACTGTGTGCAGACTTGGCAAGACAATACTACATTAGCTATTCTGTTCTCATCCGGAAACTTATCTTTGTAATGATAAGGGGTATAAATTATCTTTTAATATGAAATTGATGGCTTAGTCTCTCATAATCGCCAGGGAAACCTTCCCATGTGCCATTGCCAGTGATTTTTTTCAAACCCTATTTTTAGTTCACTTTTCATTGTGAAGTAATGTTACAAAAATTCTGAGGTGTTTTGTGTGGCATTAGGACTATTAGACAAGAAGTCCTACTTCTACTTATAACTTCATACAGACTGCTTTCTGTAGCCTTGGACGAGCTTCTGGACTTCCTGCCCTAGTTTCTCTATCTGTAAAATGGAAATGAGGGTAATAATTATGTACCTCAGATGGGTGTAGTGAGGCTCAATTAAGCTTCATAGTGTTTTTCAGATATAAAGGGCTATGTAAGAGCTATATACTTGTATTATAACTTTCTTGGTAGTTTGAATGGTTATATTTTATATTTTTCAATCACTTATTTTCCTTGTAACTTTTGGAGATGACACCCTATCCTCCTGATCTTGTATTCACTGGTAAAATTTTATACAAAAATGGCAGTAATATAACAGCAAATTCTACTCTCATAAAATGAAAGCATTTCTTGCTTGAGTGTTCAGTAAGTCATGTTGATGTTTAAAATGTTTATGCTAATCATTTTTTATTTTTTGAAGGGCGTCTGTCACCTTTCTCCACCCCTCTCCCATCACCACCCTTAAAAGCCCCAAGTTAAGGTGACCTTCCTGTCTGAGGAGAGCTGGATTTTGTTTCCTTCCTCCAGGGGCTAAGGATACTACTTTAACTTGTACCCATCCTCTGCTGGCTTAGGGTGGTGTGGTATCAGAATTATTCCACCTGTATTTGGTATAATGGTGCTGTAATACTATAGTAGTTCAAAGTCTCAGTTTTGCCTGGGTAGAAACAAAGTGCTCTATTGTGTATCTCTCAGTGTTTATAGGGAAACCTCAACGTGGGCACCCTCCTGCTGCCAACATTAGAAGCACAGGCATAGCTTGCCTCAGTTTCCATTTCAGCTGCCTATGCAAATGAATATTGTCTCTCTCAGCAACAAATTCAGACGCTTTTATTCATATCAAGTGCCACAATCTTCACATCCCTCATGGTAAAAACAGCTTCTCCCAAAACCCCAAAGTAGAACACCGCACACTTCAAGGTTACAACATAGCACTCTTCAATCCCGTTCAGAGGTCACCATTCTCTGGTTGGCCACCTGAGAGTCGTTAACGCTTCAACCCCAGTTTCTTTATCCCTGTTCCAGAACCCTCACTCTCCAGGGCATTCACCTGAGAGTTCCAAGACCAGTTTCTTTCCCACAAGTCGTCTTCTATAGCCGCACATTAGATGCCTGCAGCATTCCACTCCCCAGGCCTGCACTGATCAGACTGGTTCTTTCCCTCATTCCTAAGGCCTCTGCACAAGCTTTCCTGCAACTCATAAAGGTTCCCCAGCACTAGTCAGTCCTCCCAACAGCTTTCCTCAGAACTAGTCACCAGCAGCTCGCAGTTACTGTTTTCCTACTGTTCTTTCCCTCTAGCCACTCTTTGCTACTCTTCTGTTTCTCCTCTGGTCTCAGGCTGCTCATGCCTGCTGCCCCTTTCTAACTCTGACATGCTCACACTCTCTCTCTTTGTCTCAGTCTCCTCCTTTTGATATGGTCCTGCTCTGAAGCCCAATTGGAAGGACCTGACCAGTCACAGGTGCAGTGGGCCCCTCTCTGTCTTAAAGAGGCAAGTCTCCCTGTGACTCCCAGAATACAGCCAAGATGATCAGTGTATTCCTAACTGGGTTTTTTTTTTCTTTCTTCTTTTGCTTTTGATTCAGGTTCTCCTTCTAAACCATTTGTCTTGTGTTGATTAGGAAATAATTTAATTCTTACTGTGGGATATAAAACAGAATTGTAAATAGTTTGTAAAAAGGATGAAATTCAAAAAGGACAAATGCAAAGTACTCCAGTTAGGAAGGAGCAATCATTTGCACACACACAAAATGGGAAATCACTGCCTAGGAAGGAGTACTGCGGAAAGGGATCTGGGGGTACTGCGGAAAGGGATCTGGGGGTCATAGTGGACCATAAGCTAAATATGAGTCAACAGTGTAACACTGTTGCAAAAAAAGCGAACATCATTCTGGGATGTATTAGCATGAGTGTTGTAAGTACGACATGAGAAGTAATTCTTCCACTCTACTCCGCACTGATTGGGCCTCAGCTGGAGTACTGTGTCCAGTTCTGGGCGTCACATTTCATGAAAGACGTGGAAAAATGGGAGAAAGTCCAGAGAAGAGCAACAAAAATGATTAAAGATCTAGAAAACATGACCTATGAGGGAAGATTGAAAAAATTGGTTTTGTTTAGTCTGGAAAAGAGAAGACTGAGTGGGGACATAACAATTTTCAAGTACATAAAAGGTTGTTACAAGGAGGAAGGAGAAAAATTGTTCTTCTTAACCTCTGAGGATAGGACAAGAAGCAATGGGCTTAAATTGCAGCAAGGGAGGTTTAGATTGGACATTAGGAAAAACTTCCTAACTGTCAGGGTGGTTAAGCACTGGAATAAATTGCCTAGGAAGGTTGTGGAATCTCCATCATTGGAGATTTTTAAGAGCAGGTTAGACAAACACCTGTCAGGGATGGTCTAGATAATACTTAGTCCTGCCATGAGTGCAGGGAACTGGACTAGATGGCCTCTCGAGGTCCCTCCCAGTCCTATAGTTCTATGATTGACAGAATAGTTCAACAATATATTTTGCCATGAAGCTATTCTAGAGTTCCAACAAACTTGAATTTGGAGTAAGGACTTAATTGTGTTCCATGTGATTGGACTGGATTTTGGAAGTGTTTTCATGAAGTTTACACTTTACTGGTATGATGCTCTGGCACTGTACGGATTATAGTTCTATGACATTATGCTTTTTTTAAAAAAACCCTCAATAATAAGAGATTGTAAAACAAAAATATGTAATACACCAGACTAAAGAGTGAAAAAATTGTTACTCCTTTCCTAGCTACACACACAAACAGTTGTGTTTGTGTTTTACATTCATACAACCTCAAACTGGGAGATCACATGGTATAATCAATAGCATTAATAGAATACTTCAGTAATGATCGGCTGAAAGCAAAGACTGGCAGCCTGTTTATGCGATAGCTATTGTACAAAGTGTAAATATTAAAAAAGAAGGGGGGAAAGGATGTATGATCAGCTGTGCCAGAGCTCCAGTCAGTGCAGCTGAAGAGTTGGACAAAGGTAGTTCTGCTGTAAATTACCTTCTCACTAAACGCCTGACTGCAGCGGCCCCCACAGAGCCATTCTGTAGCCAAGGAGTAACAGAGCAAGCAACACTCCAGCCAGGCCTTGTTTCCCCAAAATGCCCTGTATGATGAGACTGGGAAGCAATGCTGTGGGGCTGGCTACATTATCTTTCTGCCATCTGAATATTCCACTATGCCAGAGAAATTTCCATATACTGGTATCTGGTTAAATTGGCTTGAAGCTGCATTGTATTGCCAGTGCAAAGTAACTTTATTGGGGGCCAGGATCTGTGCTGGAGCCTTTAAACTTCTAAAGTAACTAATCGGATCACTCAGAGAGTTGAATTATGGGAGTTGGGGTTTTGTTTTGTTTGGTTGTTTTAAGCTTTAAAATCTTCATTATGATTTCAGATACTCTTTCTGAGCCTGTGTGCATATGCTTACACCTTCGTAAATGTTTGGACATTTGGTGTCTGCAAGCCAGTTTATATAGAAGGTGTGGAACAGCAACTTCAGGGAACAGGCTAATCAGAATTTTCCAGGATAAACAAATAACTCTACGCTTGTTCTTTTTATCTTATCTGCTCCATGATTAGTGTGTTGCTGTTACTTTTAGAGCCTGGACATAACAATCCGTTTCATATTTTGTGCCAGATTTTTGCTTTAGATAGTCACATGGCTTCCTTTCATAGAATTTGACCAAGAATATTTAAAGATTGAACTGTTACGTTAAAAAAATCATGCCTTGAAATAAAAAAAAAAAAAGTCAGATTTTTAAAATTTAACTACTTACATGTTGTACTTCCTGCATTTCAGCATGGATAGTAAAAATGGACTAATCAGTTTAACTTTTTTATTTTCATTCACTAGCAGCACAAACTACTGTAGAGGATAATCTCTTTTTTAAGGTTCCATTGGAATTTCTTAAAAAAACAGAAAATCCTCACACCTTAGTTTTGGAATTATAACAGAATTCTTCTTTGGGGTAGGATTTGATCTTGCAATGTCCTGCTAAAATTGGTTTGTAATATAATATTGTGTAAAGTATGCATCTGAACCTGGATTCTTTATGCAGGCAAGGTTCCCATTGGCATCAGTGGGAGTTCTGTTGCAACACTGGCATCTCTCTCTCTGAGAGTGGGGTGTTTTTGTTTCATTATGCAGGTAGGGTTTTGTTCCTGTATTTAGCAAAACTGAGAACTAATTACAGATTCTGTTTTTGTAGTATTTGGGCGGATCAAATATTGAAGTGAGCTCTTTCTATATTTTATCACAGGTTTGTTTTTCCTTTTTTCCTTTCAGCCTCAAAAGCTGTGGACTGCCTTTTGGATTCTAAATGGGCAAAAGCCAAGAAGGGAGAAGAAGCCTTATTTACAACTCGAGAGTCTATAGTTGACTATTGCAACAGGTATGGCCTTCTAGTCAAGATAAATAGTCTTAATAACAAGTACAGTTTTCAAAAGCATTAAAGTTCCATTTTCTGAAGGCCCTAAATCACTTGGGCCCTTTTGAAAATGGGACAGATACTTCTGAAAATTATATTTTCACTATTTTTCTTAACCTTTTGTGTGTACATTATAGTTACTTCAAAATAGACTGCTGAAGCAATGTATGTTTTTGATTAGAATGTTTGAAAAAATATTTGTGGTGTATCAGTAACATAGAAATAATGTAGTTTAATCATTGTAAATATATAGTCATTAACAATTAGAAGAACTTATTGGGTCCAATCCTGTAATTACTGGTGGCTTTGCCACTGGAGCAGCACCCCTGGAGGAAAAAGGAGACAGTAAAGTAATAGCAAAGTAAGTATCTTTCTCCCAATTCCACAAACATTTTAATGTTTATCTAGTAGAATAGCTGCTCTTTCAGATGAAGAAAGTATTTCTTCACACAACACACAGTCAACCTGTGGAACTCTTTGCCAGAGGATGTTGTGAAGGCCAAGACTATAAAAGGGTTCAAAAAAGAACTAGATAAATTCATAGAGGATAGGTCTATCAATGGCTATTAGCCAGGATGGATAGGGATGGTATCCCTAGCCTCTGTTTGCCAGAAGGTGGGAATGGGCAACAGGGGATGGATCACTTGATGATTACGTGTTCTGTTCATTCCCTCTGGGGCACCTGGCATTGGCCACTGTCAGAAGACAGGATACTGGGCTAGATGGACCTTTGATCTGACCCATTATGGCCGTTCTTATGTAAGAATTCTTGTGGGACTGCTGCTCTGAAGGCCTGGGCTCTGTAACCCACAAATCTCCAGCAGCAGTCAATCAAGAGCCTGTCGGCTGCATCGGAGGGCAGCAAAGATAGATTTTAAGTTCCTACTTTATGACTTGTAGGAGCAAAATGAACCTTCCAGTAAAGACTGAAATTGGGAGAAGCTTTAAATGCCTTGTTGTTCTTCAAGTGATTGTCCACATGGATTCCACCTTATGCACACCAGATTGGATTTTTTTGGCCAGCAGTGTTTGTTGGGGCTGGACCTGTGCTCTAGATGTCCTCCAGCCCCTGCACTCAAGGGCATAAGGGCAGAGTGGGCCCAACAGTTCCTCAGTTCCTACTTATCAGTCACGGCCCTACTGGGCTGCTTGGTGTATGCAGTCATATGCCCTCAAACCAACGTCCTCTGCCCTCACGTCTAGGGTAAGATCGTCTTCCCCTAAGAGGGAGGAGGCTATAACAGGCAGGGGCAGAGGAACAGTTGATCCTGGCAACAATTTCATCCTCCTCCCCTGATATGGCAGCCAATCTTTCTACCTTGTCCAACAGATGACTTGAAGGCATTCCAAAACTGAAGAAATGTATGGTCAAGACCCTTGACATCCCACTGAAATTAGTGCAAGAGAAATTGCAAAAGCTGCTAGACATTCTGCACCCTTCCATGCTTATTAACAAGGGATTATTAGAACCTACAGTGGACTTGTGGCAGGCTCCAGCATCGATACCTGCCACTTACAAAAGCGTGGATAGACAGTATGAAGTTCCTCCTAAGGGCTTCAAGTATTTTTATTTGCTTCTTAATAAGCATCAGGTTTAAAACAAATATAAGGAAGTTCTTCTTCACACAACACACTGTCAACCTTTGGAACTCGTTGCCATGGGATGTGGTGAAGGCTAAAAGTATAACTGGGTTCAAAATAGAATTAGATATGTTCATGGAGGACAGGTCTATCAATGGCTTTTAGCCAAGATGGTCAGGGATGCAACCCCATGCTCCGGGTGTCCCTAAACCTCCAGCTGCCAAGTGCTCAGGCTGGATGACAGGAGATGGATCACTCAGAGTTGTCCTGTTCTGTTCATTCCCTCTAAAACATCTGGCACTGGTCACTGCCAGAGACAGGATATTGGACCCTAGATGGACCATTTGTCTGACCCACTATGGCCGTTCCTGTAGTGCCAAATTCACCTGTTATAGTGGCTGTTACAGAAAGATCCAAGCAGAAAGGGCCTCCAAAAACATCACCAAGGAAAAAGGCCCCTAAGAAACTAGATCTGTTCAGCAGAAAAATTGTCTTCTCTGCCAATCTCCCAACTACCAGCTTTTGGCAAAATATGACTATCTGAACTGGGACAAATTCTCTCTGTTTATGGAAAGACTGCTGCAGGAGCATAAGGAAGAATTAAAATCCATCATGCTAGAGGCGCAGCTGATAGCTTTAACTTCCCTGTAGGCTGCTTTGGATGTATCTGATACATCCACATGCACCATGATCACATTGGTGGTGGTTCAGAATTGGAGAGGTCCAAAACACTAATCAGAAATGGATGAGGCCCTCCACTTGTTAAAGGACTCCTGAGTCACTTTGCGTTCTCTGGGTTTGTACAACTCAGCCCCAAGAAGAAAGCAAACCAGACCTCAAGATTCCTTCAGACATAATCGCTCTGCTCCATACTGTTATAACTTTCTGAGGGCATTGGCGCGAGTAAGGGAGAAGCAGAGCTTCCAGAATAGACAACCCATCACTTCTTCCTCTGCTACAATGCACTCAATGTCTTCCTCTCAACAGCAGTTTTCATGCCATAGTTGAGCCCTTTTGGCAACTGCCTTTCTTTTTTCAGGGAAGCCTGGGCTGGGATCACTGTGGACCAGTGGGTGTGAGAGATTGTCAGCAAGAGGTATTGCATGTATTTCCAGTTGCTTACTACCCTTCAGGTACCTTCCCCATTCCTCTTCTGAGATACTGTTGAAGCAAGGGTTGGTTTTTTTCCTGCATCTCCGAACAGTGGAAGGAGGTGCCCTTTAAGTTCAGGGGAAGGAGTTCTTATTCACATTATATTTTCATTCCAAAGAAGAAAGGTGGCTGGCATCCTATTCTGGACCTTTGATGTCTCAACAACTTCATCTACCATTTCAGGTTCAGGATGGTGACTCGAGCCTCCATTAGATCCTCAAGACTTTCATGGCTCTAACCTTTCAAGACACCTATTTTTAGATATCCATACATCTGGCTCATAGGAAATACCTCAGATTCCTAGTAGGAACATCTCATTACCAGTGCGGTATCTTGTGTTCTGGTCTTTCCACAGCACCAGTACTGTTCAAGGACTTGGCAGTTGTAGCAGCTCACTTAAGGAGAGAAGGGATCCAGGTCTACCAATATCCTAATGATGGGTTGATCCAGGAAAGATCACCACAACAAGTGACCAACTTGATTAAAGTAGCCTTAACTTTCTTTGCCACACTGACGCAAAGCAGAGAGTTCACAGAAGTCTTGTTAGATTTCAGGTCAGCAAGAGCCATCTTCTTCCACAAAAAAGATTTTAAACTATTGTGGTCCTCAACAACTCTCATTTCAACTAATTGGACTGTTTACTAGACCTGAAACAACTTTGGCTTCCTATTATTTCCATAAGGGTTTATCTAGCAATAATATCTGCACATCACTCTGTTATCCAGGGCCAAACTGTATTTTTTCCATCCTACAGTGGCTAGTTTCCTTAATGGCCCTATTCATTAGTTTTATTTTTTTTGCCCCCTCCAGTTCAGGAGTCACCTGCCTCTTGGGACCTCAGTATAGTTTTAACAGGATTGATGGGTCTCCTTTTAGAGTCCTTAGGTGGTATAGGGAACAGGTTGCTATCAGTGAAGACTGCCTTTTTAGTTGCCATTACATCAGCTTGAAGGGTTGAGGATTCAGACCCTTATTGTGGGGACACTTATTTTTTGGCAAAGGCTTCCAGAATGGATGCCTATCTTGGTAGGGCTGTCTTGCCGTTTTTGTTTAAGTAGGACACCTACAAGCAAATGGGTTGTTTGTTACTCACTAAGTGTAGAATATGTGTGAACAATCACTGAAAGAAAGAGAGCTTACTTACCTTACAGTACAGTAACTGGTTCTTTGAGATGTGTTGCCCAGGTGAATTCCACACCCCGCCCTCCTTTCTTGCTACTAGAGTCCTACTCTTCTGGGATTCTGTTTTGGCGAAGGACCATGGTTGGGGTCGCTCCACCCTTATGCCTCAGGTGGGGGGTGGATGGGAAGCAAGGATATCTAGGGCACAGGTGTGGCCCCAATGGACACTACTGGCCAAAAGAATCCAATCTTACAGGCATGAGGAACATGTGCACCGAGAGTGGAATCCATGTGGAAAACACATCCCAAAGAACTTCAGTTACTGTAAGGTAAGTAACTTTTTTCTTTTTTTCTTTTGAATAAGGGATTGAGGACCTGATTCTACTGCTATTTTACATTAAATATTCCCACTGGCTTTAGTGGGAGTTTGTGTGCATAGGAACTGCAGGGTCAGGCCAAAAGCAATGTAGCTTAGGATCAGATGAGCAGAACTGGACTATTTTTCAAACATATTCTTAGTAAAGTTACTGTGCCTTAAAAAGGAAAAAAGAATGAAACCATGCTTTGCTTTTCTTTCTATCTGTTTAATTTTTGTTGTGCCTCCAGCTGTGTATGTTTTATTTTAATATCATTCTGCATATAGTTTTTCCAATGAAGTAGTTCAGCTGATTTCTTTCCCTGTAAAATATTTAGGTAAATAGCTCTGACAAAGGTACCTGATCTATAATAATAATAATAATTAATAGATAAATGAAAGGACGAGAATCAATTACTGGGTGAAGCGATGGCAACAATTCAAACTAACTAGACCACAAAGTAAGGGCCAGATTCTCTGGTGTTTTAATCCCTGCCTCCCGCAGCCCCAGCCTGACCTGCCCTTGTCGTGGCAGAGGCCATGACCACAGTATTTTATGCTCTGGCTAGCTCAGTTGGCAAATACTTGGTTTCTCAGATGTAAAAGTCTCCCCAACACTTTCCCCCTCACTTGGCACCAAGTTTCTGTTTGGACCTCATAGAATGTGATTGTCTAAGTGTGTTACCTTGGTTCCAGTAGTACATCTTGGGTCAACTTACAGCTCTGAACCATATAGCCTGATAAGTTGTATGTCCACTTCCCATATCTCCTGCTGCTGTGAGAAATGTTGACATGTAATTAAAGAGAAATATTGAAAGGAAATGTATCAAATGAGAGGGTGTAAGAAAAATAATTTAAACAATGTACCCGATTTTCCACTCTCTTGGTTCTGGTGTTGTCATTTACATCTCTGCAAAATGCAACCGAATCAGGAAGGTAGAGGTTTTACTCCCACTTTGCACAGGCATACAAAGAAGGCACACAGGTGTGAGGCAGAGGAGAATCAGGCCCACTATGTTTATTAATAACCAGTCCTGCTTGGTGTGACACCGTCTTTGCATCATGCTGTCACAGGTATCCAATAACATAATTGTGTTCTAAACATATAACCACACCAGTAACTCCTAAATGATTTAGTAATATAACCTTTTTATTGTAAGACTCCTAAAGAAACAGTTCTTTCACCGAGCATTGAAAGTGATGAAAATGAAGCCTGATAAGGATGCAAAAAAAGAGAAAGAGAAAGAGAAAGGAAAGACTGAGAGTGGGAAAGAGGATGAGAAAAAGAGCAAGAAGGAAAGTGGCAAAGATGAAAAGACTAAGAAGGAGAAAGAGAAGGAAAAGAGAAAGGATGGTGAGAAAGAAGAGTGCAAGAAGGTAAGTGCAACCCAAAAAAGAAGACAGTCAAACCTATTAGCAGATACTACTAACTACTGTGAAAAACCTAGTTTTTAAAGGGTAAGGTTGTTCGATCCAAAATGGGGAGTGCTTCTGCAGTAGTATTCTTGTTGTTCAGCACTCATAAGCAACTTTGTAATAATGATATATGGATGCAGCCAAAATTTCAAAATGGGACCTAAGAATCTGGGGCCTTTTACAGTCTCTAAATTCCTTTTTAATTATTCCTTCTGTTTCATGATTGATATATGTTCTTAGGATGAGAACCCAGGAACACCCAAGAAAAAGGAAACCAAGAGAAAATTTAAACTTGAGCCACATGAAGATCAAGTTTTTCTGGATGGAAATGAGGTGAGGTTTGTGTGTAACTTTTATTTCTACACTTCCTATATTTATCCGTGACCAGTACATTGACAATAAAATACTGAACCTGATTAATTTCACCAGACTTTTTCCTTCTGCCCTTTTGATAGTTACCAGCATGGGTGGAAACTAGCTGGCCTCTCTTGCTAGTAGGTAATGCCATTTTGAAGTATTTTTAAATACTTCAAATTCAGCTACAGGAAAGGGAGTCCAAAGTGGTTGCCATCTAGAAGCCTCATGGTCTGAACATGGGACTGGGAGTCAGGCACGCCTGAATTCTAAACTAGGCTCTGCCACCAAATTTCTGTGTGGCCTTAAGTTATTTAACCTCTCCGTGCCTCACTTGCCTCTTCTTTAAATCAGATGATTTACTTCTCTAATGATACCATACTGTCTGGATTCCTGCCCTTGCACTTATATCTTGAGACAAGAGGGAATTCCTGTACTTCTCAGTGATTTTACCCATTTAAACAGAGGGAAATGTGTCTCATACATAGACCAACTGCTGTCTCTCATTGGGCCCCTGGAATGTTTCCTTAAATTCCTTTCTGACGTTGGTCAGCAAAGGAGTGTCCCGTTAGGACTGTGACTCTTATGACTGGTTCCAGTTCTCTGCCTGTCCTGCAGACTATACATCGAGAGAAACTTTCTTCACAAAATTGGTGAGTACCTACAGTAGTGGGTTTGTATATGTCTGGTATGCAGTTGACGTAACAGTCACCTTCTTTTCAGCTGTGAAGGTCACCAGTTACTGCTGTCGGGTACTTTGAATCTTCACTACTAGATGAAGATGCTATCTGGCTTTAATGACATTCATTAATCATACTAGTTCAAAGTACTCTACACTTTGGCAAGAAGCTTTTTCCTTAGGGTGAGTGAATTCATGGTTCAAGTGGATTGTGTAGTTCCCATGAACACCTTTGGTACAATGTGATGCAACAGTGGGGATTAAGATGACACTGTACCCTGGTACTGGGTATAAATTATTGCTCCTAATTGCCATTTGTTTGAGCCTATCAGATAGAACTTACCTCCCTTACTTAGTTTATTCCTACATTTGTCTTCTTTTGAGCCTCCTGGCTTGCTGTCTGTTTTCCCTTGATCTCTTTCTCCTGGGTGCCTCTTGGCACTTAGAGCAGTATATATTTTTTCCCTTTGGGAACATGAGTGAGTTTGTTTTTTACTGGAAGTTATGGCTTCATGGCCAATACCTCCAAAGCTCCATAAACACTTGGATTTAGTGTTATTTCTGAGGCTCTTTCATTTCAGTGAGTCTGTTACCTAATGTGAACTCCTAGAGAAAACATCTTTCATAAATTATCCTTGGCTAAAGCTTCTTTTAAGAAGTAACGCTTCTAGGAATCCATTCAGGAAAGTGATTTTGTTGCTTAAGAGAAGCAATTATTTACCTGTAATTCTCTGAAGATATCCTTTGATGTGTTCCTACTTCCTTACATTTGGGAGATGATCCCTTGATGACTTACCTTTTGTCCCTTTAGCTAATTTTTTGCTCACAAATGATTCTTAGAGGTTAGAGAGCTCCATGCTTCCCACTCATTAAAGCATTACAAAGGAATGCTCAAGTGGGACATTGAGGCACCACTGGTTGGTCAGTAAATGAGACACAACTACCAGCACCGGAAAATGTCAGTCTTTGAGAGCTAGGGAAGTTTATGCCAGTCTCATGCTAAACTTCAAGTCCTAAGTAGAAATATACAGCTAAATGGTATTTTCAACTAAGCCAAGTGAAAGTAACTTTCCTTTCTTTACCTCTGATGGAGCTATGAGGATTAATGTTTGTAAGATGCTGAAAGTGTAAAGGGCTATGTATTATTAATGGAAAATAATATACTCCTGGGGGACTTCTGTGCCACTGCACATGCGCAGAATTTATGTCCCCCGCAGATTTCTTCCTCGCAGAAAAAATGACTTTCTGACGGGGAAGCCACAAGAGCGGTCATGCGACTCTCCCCAGCAGTATGTTTTGGGTGCCCACGGCAGCTGGCACAGAGGTAAATCACTGTGGGGCAGAGGGCGGGACTGGGGAAGACCCAGCTGGTGGCTCTTACCCTGCACTGGGCTCAACTGCTAGTCCCAGCTGGGCTGGGGAGGACTTCCTCTTCCTCTGCATGGCATCCGGGGCTGTGTTAGACCCACCCCCAGATTTCTCCCCTGCCTGTAGGAAGCTCTGCAAACTCCCCGTTTCCTGCACCCATCGCTCCTCAGCTGCAGGGGAAGGGATCACTGTACAGGGAACTGCCCCCCCATCCACCCAACCCCCATGCATCCAGACCCCCTCATACCCAGACCTTCCCGCCAAGCCTCACTCCCCCCACACCCAGAATCCCAACAAGTCCCACTCCCCCTGCACCTGGACTACCCCAACGAGCCACCTGCACCTGGATCCCCACCCTGCTGAGCCCAACCACCTTCACCTGGACCCCTCTGCAGACTCCCATTACTGTTGCAACCAGAACCCCCCTAACAAGTGCCTGTGCATCCAGATCCCCTGTGCACCCAGATCCCCCACTGAGCCGCCCGCACCCAGAATGCCCCACACAGAACCCTCTCAAACCACACCAAACCCCTCCACACTTGGATCCTGCTTTGCTGAGACTGCCTGCCCACACCTGGTACACGTGGCACTGAGGGGCATGGTCCTGGGGTGTTTCTGGGGCAGGCCTAGTCCTTGTGCAGTGTCAGGGTTGGGTGCAGCCTTACTGCTGAGTCTGTGTCCTGGGTGGGAGCTGCACAGTGATCTCCCACCTCTGTGCAACCAGTGGCCTGTGCTTCCCAATGCCATGCTGGAGCCTCCACATTTATTTGACAAATAAAATTTGCAGAATTTTAAAATACTGTGCGCAGAATTTTTAATTTTTTGGCACAGAATGCCCTCAGGAGTAAATAATACTAGTAAGTCATTAAAATCATTAAAATATTTTAAATAAAGGCACCAACACACACCAGGGTATGAGCAATATATTCTAATAAGAGCATTTATCAGATGCTGGAAGCTCCCAGCCTTCATCCTTGTGCCTGACAAGATATGGCACCAGTGTAATATTAAATATTTATATTATACATCCTTCTCCAATAAAAATACTGTGCTTAGGCCGTCTGCTCACTGAGTCAGATTAAGATCCGTGCATTGCTGAGGCAATTTGTGTAGGCTTAAAGAGGTGGTAGTGACAAGGTTATATATCTGCTTCTGCAGCTACTTCACTGAGCAGAATTGACATAGACCTTGGCTTCATGTCTCATCCAAAAATACAGAATCTCCAGCAATGCAGTGCCCCTCACCACAGTGCTGTACCATGGTTCAGTGCTGACTTGGAGGGCAGAGTGGCACCTGGTGGTGAATGTAACCTAGTACTAGAGAAATATGGTAATAAAGAAACATGCAGATGAGGAAACGAATCTGAAAGCTCTTACCAAAGATCTTTATTTGGGAATATAATTTGTTAATTTTAACCTGATTATTCTTACTGCAGGTGTATGTGTGGATCTATGACCCAGTTCATTTTAAAACATTTGCCATGGGACTTGTTCTTGGTAAGTAAGAATAGATGTTAATGTTCCTCAAGACATCTGTCTCTTTCCCATGGACAAACCTTTTAGTGTTTACGCTTTGTTCTAATTTGATACCTGCTTCAGCCTTGGTACCAATGAGAGAAAAGGTGCATGCAGTAAAAACCTCAGACTAGTGAGGCTCCTTTTTATTCTCTCATATTCAGACACAGAATTAACATTTTTATCAATTTGCACCTAACTTACAGTTACACCTACTAACTGATCTGTAGATTTCAATTACTTAACACTAATAGATCGTGTCCTTAATAGGTACTGAACACTCATAATTGATACCCTTTCCCTTCCATCTCCCAATATTATTTATGTAGATCATTGGCCCAAGCAATTTTTTTTTTTTTTTTTTTACAGTCTAGACCAATTTTAATGTTTACACACTGGTCTATTCTTCTTCATTAGCTGCTGCTGTGTAATGGGGAAATGGAAAAAGTTAGGGCCTAAAAGGCACCCAACTTCCCTGAGTTTAGAAATCATGGTAGCACCTTTCTAGAGAATCATGCTGACACTTTATGCCTAACCACTATGGTGATGGGCATCTTGGAAATACCTAAGGTAGATGGATAAATATTTTTGATCGGTATATAGAGGGCCTAACCATGTTACATGCTACAACTGGTGGGGATGTTGTGTACGGTATGCTTTGTATATTGGGTTCTGTCTACACTTACCAGGGAATACTTATTACTTATATGGTGCTTTTTATCTTGAGAATTATACAAATCATCTTTTCAGACCCTCTCTGAGGTAGGTAAATATTGTTTATTTCAGTTATAAGATGAGGAAAACTGAGGCAGAGAGGTGAAGTGACTTGCCAAGGCAAGGCCACATGGGTAAGTCAGGTGTCAGAGCTGGCATTAGAATGTAGGAGTTGCTGGCTCCCAGTTCCATGTTCATATCCTCTCTCTATCAGCACAATTCTCTATGGAGAAGATATAATTTATATGACCATGATATATTTAGGGCTTTGAAAGGTAATGTGCTTAGCTTCTAAAGTGGTGTTGGGAGCCAGTTATGTGTTTACGCAATCTTGTAGACTTCAGCAAATAGCAGGAGGGCAGAAACTGCACAACTGTAAGGAAGACAAAGGGGGTGAGGGTGGGGACTGAAAAACAAGCAAAAAATGAAAGAGTGGGGATATTCACTTGCTCTCCAAACTTAAGCATGTTCTATTGGGTTTTTATGGCCTAAGCTGGTAATTTATATATGTGTATTTGTGGGCCAACAGAAATCCTACTCTGTTTCTGAATGGCAATCAAATAATGGGAATGCCTGGCAGTGGCGTAGCCAGGTGGAGGGAACGATAAAAAAGGCGCCACCCGCTGCGGCGCTTTTACTCACCCGGCGGCGCTCCGGGTCTTCGGCGGCGGGCCCTTCGCTCACTCTGGGTGTCTTCAGCAGCACTGAAGGACCCGCCGCCGAAATGCTGCCGAAGACCCGGAGCGAGTGAAGGTCCTGCCGCCAAACTGCCACCGAAGACCCGGAGCGCTGCCGGGTGAGTAAAATAAAAGCACCGCAGCGGGTGGCGCTTTTTTTTTTTTAATTGCTCCCCCGGGTGAGTACAAAGGCAGCAAGAAATTGGCAAGGCGCCACTTGTGCTCAGTCGGGGAGCAGCCACTGCCCCGCTCCCACCCTAGCTACGCTACTGATGCCTGGTCAAAGTGCTGTATGAACATTACTACAGGCAACAACACCAGACCACTATAGCCCTTTAATTGGTATCTTATCCATGTTTCTCAAACTCTTATCTTCATTTTTAGTGATTGCGGTTATAGCTGCAACTCTCTTCCCGCTTTGGCCTGCAGAGATGCGAGTAGGTGTTTATTACCTCAGCGTAGGCGCAGGCTGTTTCGTAGCCAGTATTCTCCTCCTTGCTGTTGGTAAGTTTCATTTGTTTTCAATAGAAGTTAGATGAACAGGACAAGCAGGGTAAAATTTTCAGAAGTTTCTAAGTGACTTAGAACCCTGTCTAATTGTAAAAGTGGAATAAGTACTTAGACTCCTAAATCTGTCAACTTAACTTCTGAAAATTTTACCCCTATTCTTTAAAATAGCCATAGACCAGTGGTCCCCAATCTGTGAGGCATGCACCCCTTTGGGCAGTGTGGAGGAATGTCTGGGGGGGCCCAGGCCAGCTCCCACAGGGAAGAAAGTGCCACCCAGCCCCACTCTAGGCTCAGCTCTGCTCCCGTCCCCGGCTTGACCTCCCCATCACAGCTCTGCTCCTGGCCAGGGGACTGTGACACATTCCATTACTGGTAAGGAGGGGCGGGGGTGGTACGAGAGGAAAAGTTTGGGGACCACCGCCATAGATTAATCTTATGTGAGTAATTCATTAATGGCCACTATATGTCACTATTGTGGCACTGGAAAAAAGTGTTCCTCAGGGTTCATTTCAGGCTGCAGGCTTACACCAGGGTGTGCACTCTTGATCTTGCATAGTGGAGATCAATGTCCTTAGGACAGCACAAGCACTCTGTTTTATCAGAGCTCTCTGGTCCACTGTTCGTGTTAGACCTCTCTTGCTGCTAAAACTCTTGTTTTAGGCACTAGATAGTAGCAGCGGCTCTAATGTGAGACATGTTAGTAAGGTTGGGAGATGAGAAAGGTGGCCACGGTGGTGGGGTCTTTAAACTGGAGGAGAAACAGTGGCCAAGGTGAAGAGAAAAAGTTTGAGACAACAGGGAGGGGGAAAAAGGACCATCATCTACAAATTAGAGGCAGTGCTTCCTCCTGAAAAGCCAGTTCAGGCTTTTGGCAGAGGTGGAATCACCAGACCTAGAAACAGTGTTACTTATAAACTTACGGGCATTGCCTGTAGATAGAATACAAAGGAAAGTAAAACCGCTCGAGTCACATTGCATCTTGATATCAGAGGCCTGCATTTTGACCACCTGCCTTCTAGGCAGAATTAGATGCAATGCCCGAAAGGAATAGCTCAGGATCAACACATAGACACTTGCAAAAGAAATAAAACTGAGAACATGACTCACCTGTTAAGGATTTGGGCCCAGATCCTCACATCTGAAATCAGTGGAAGTTAGGAGCTTAATTACCTTTGAGGAGCTGGATGCAGGTAATCAAGCTTTCTTTTTGACTTGCATGGTGTGTAACTGACCAAAACAATGCTTAAAAATGCAGATGGGAGATCACTGACCCTCTTATTTTTCATGGAGACTTACAAACTAATAGAGAAAACTTGCTCTTTGGCTAAGATCAAATGATCGTATCCTATTGCAGGGGAATAGACTTTTCTGTCTATTAGCTCTTTACCGTTTCTAACTTTTATCATCAAACCTTGTATCAGACTTTTATTTTTGGGAGGGTGTTGAAAGATGGCACCTTTTAATTCTCCCCCTTGCCTACTTCTTGATCACCACCATTAAGTATCAGAACACGCTGTTAAACCCATCCTTCCAGCCCAGGGATTTGGTTTCATTTGTATTTTGTGTGTTTTGTCTGTCCTCAACTTGATTTTGAGTACAGCAGGGGAGAGGCATCTAATGAACACAGTTGTTATATGTTGTAAATATTTATATAAAATATTTGGGCTTTCTCTCCTCACAGCCCGCTGCATTCTCTTCCTTATTATTTGGCTGATAACTGGAGGAAGGCATCACTTCTGGTTTTTGCCAAATCTGACAGCAGACGTGGGTTTCATTGACTCCTTCAGGCCCCTGTACACACATGAATACAAGGGACCAAAAGCAGACTCAAAGAAAGAGGAGAAATCAGAGTCCAAAAAGCAGCCGAAGTCTGACAGTGAGGAGAAATCAGATAGTGAGAAAAAGGAAGATGAGGACGGAAAAGTCGAAGCAACAGGCAACTCAGGAGCAGATGGCTCTGGAGGGGAGCGGCATTCAGACACAGACAGTGATAGGCGTGAGGATGACCGATCCCAGCATAGTAGTGGAAATGGAAATGATTTTGAAATGATCACAAAAGAGGAACTTGAACAGCAAACTGATGAAGGAGATTGTGAGGAAGAGGAGGAGGAGGAGGAGGAGGAGGAAGAAGAAACTAGGCCTTTACATGAAAAATCCTAACTCACTGTAGTTTTGAGACTGAATATGTGCAAAACAATTGGATTTTCTTCATTGGCTGATCACCAAAATGTAGTTACAGTAACATTCTTCCCATTTGTTTGCTGAAATACACGTTATCCAAACAGTTTTATATCTAGTTTCTTCATTTTAAAAAAACTATTAGCTTGATTACTTGGTACAATCTGAAGTCATTAATACACATTTACAAAAGTTTTGTCAATTTGACAAGTTTTCTGTCAGATCCTATAATTTGTCTAGATAGTCCTCAAACCTTCCGAAGAACATAGTTTCCCTATTGTCATTTTCTGGTACTTGCATAACTTTTCAGTAAGTATAGCCTACTCAAAATAGCTTTGTAAAATGGTAAAAAGTTGAATGACCAAATCTCACATTATTCCTAGTATATTCATTTGATAGCTAGTTAAGTAAAGGACTTCTTAGCTCATGGCTCTCTTGACATTTTTCTTGATCTTTATAAAATTGTAAGAAAGAACTTTAAGACAACTAGTTTTAGCAGAAGGTAATTTTAAAGTATTTTGCTAGACATACAAGCTGGTAGTGCTTATTTGGCTGCAGTGTTTTCAGTTGTGTACAAATTGTGTACCACCAACTTAAGAAATCCAAACTGTTTTGTACATCTGGTTCAGAGAAAGATGTCATCTCGAGGAGGCAAAGGGAACAGCATAGTTTGGAAACTATGGCTGTCTTCTTTTCCCCCTCACTTCCCCCACCATCATAATTCAGAGGAAATTATTCTGTACGTAATTTTAAAATAAAGCAACCCCCTTTTTTTTTTTAAACTGTTACTTATTATTTAGAAGTTTTATCCAAATTTCAATTTGTATAATTGAAGCCATTTCAGGGTGTGTTTATTAGAGAAATGCAAGATGGAGGACCTCACAGAATCTGTTTGATTGGTAGATTTGTCCCAGGAGCTTTAGTTTCCTGCGAACATTCCATGTATTTGAGTGAGTAAATTGATCCTTATTAAACAAAAGCAGATAACACAGCTGTCTGTATGCCTTAATGTTAATCTTAACATTTTCTATATTCAGAAACGAGTACTATATTAACTGATGAGTAGGCACATCTTGAGAGTATTCACCTGTTCAGAAGTACAGATAACAAAAAAGCTAATTCAAAAGATGACCAAGATCAAATTGTTTTTAAAACTGCTGAAGCAATTTGAATGTTCAGTTTGTTTCACACATCTCTGATTTGCTAGACTGTTGGAGGACATTTTGTGTTTAGTTATATAAGTATTTAAAAAGTTAAGATGACATAATTCCTCTGAATCGTTCAATTTCAGACCAACTGAAATAGTGAATACAGATATTATTCCTCCCTGACACCACTGTGAGGAAAGAATGCTAGTTATTGCTTGAATTTTCAATAGTTGACAACATTTTTTTCTTGAATTTCTCTTTTCCATTACCAGTGTTTTGAAGGAAGATGTTAATTTTTCTGACTGTGCAAATATATACATTTTACATGTGCATTGATAAGGTCTAATTTGCATACTACTTCTGAATATTTATTGTATGGGGAACAGAGATTGGATCTGTTACGCATTTTTCTATTGATACGGAAGAACTTTTATTAACCTGTTCCCTGGCAAACTTTGACATTTGTGTGTTATTGCTGTTTACAGTGACTTGTTTTAACAGATCCGTCACTGCCATCCACTACCTTAAGATGTGCATGTGTAATGGGATAGGACACTGGCTTAAAACTCTTCTTTCCACTCAGTTTAGCAACTGTTTTGAACAACATACTGCCTTCAGGCAGAAGCTAATATCTGCCATGCTTGCAGTTCCAATCTCCGTGGCTAGCATTGGGAACTGAACTGCAGTCCTTTGTGTACAACACTCTTTAGCTATTTGGTTCTGTGATGTATCTCAGTACCCCCCTAAACACCCACTATTATCATATATAAAATGGTACACATGCATCTTCCTTTCAGATGAGCAAGAACAGCACGGAACCCTTGCTTTTACTATAAAATGCAGGGTGGTAAAACCATTTTGTAGTCTGCACTGAAGCTAAATTTTGTCTTTATTCAGGTGAAACTCCCATTGATTTCAGTGAATTAAAATCAAGACAGACTGACATTTGGCCTCTATCTAGTTTTTAAAAGCCAGTTGGAGAACAGCACCTGACGTGTGTAAAACAACAAAACAAAACAAAAAAGTGTGTAATACATAAGTTGAAGATGGTTTTACTAATATTTGAAAATAAGGTCCAGTATTTTTCCAAGTAATAAACAATTGGGCTACCCGCGTTTGAAGCCTTTAGGGCAATGAATTTATCTCTATTTCCTCAGCTAAAATGAAATGACATCTTAATAATCCTGTTGAGAAAATTAAGTTTAATCATTCTAAATTGGAATAATATTATTAAATAACTGTTTAGTAAAGCTGTCACCTGCTGTCTGTGCAGTGACCTATTTGAAATGAGCTTGTGATGGCAGTCCATTTCCTAGTACACAGGTGTCTAGATCTCAAAACCCCTGCCAACCCTGGCAGGAGAGTTCATCGCTTAACTAGGCACGGAAATGGAACTGTCCTCTAATCCACTGACTCATCTTTAAAAAAGAACTTTGTGACGTGGATGGAACATCCAGCTCATGTACACATTGAACTCCTGATTACCCTTAACCCTAATTTGCAGTGTTCAGCTCTGAGACACATTGACAGGGTAATATGAGAAAGGGTGCACTATTGTTGGGAGCTGTTCTGTGGACATAAAGCATTTCATTGCCCAGTTCTATTAGACATTTCCACAAATACTAAATTCACTGTACTTATTTTAAAAATTTTAGGGTTAGATAGGAGATGAGTGGCTACAATTTGATATGCCAGCAACAACTAAAGAGAAAAAGAATCAGTGGACATGTGACATTTTGCATACACACTTCCAAAACAGACACAGGGTCCAAAACATAGATATGGAAATAATAAAGGTACTGACCAGCATTCAGTTCTCTTAAGATATGTGGTTACTTTTAAAATCAAAGTATTTCAGAGTAAGTTGCTTCTACTCCCCTTACTGGTTTTGACTTAAACTTCGTAACTTATATGCCTGTCTAGTAGGATGACTTTAATGGGAACAATTTTATTTATATTTAGTGGAACATTTAAACAGTTACTCTATTAAAATTTCCTTATTGCAATAAAATGTTAGTGGTCTCATTGATTTTTCTCCCTATAGCTATATAACAAGTGTAATAGTTACTCTTTTCTGATAAAATGTGATTGCCATTAGTTTAACCAATTTTGAAAATAAATTATTAAAAAATTTTAAACTTAAGCAGAAAACTATGCAGGTCAACATCTAGAGGTGATGTTATACCAAAACCTGATCTGGGTACAGGGTAGACGAGAATTTTCAACTTAATTTTTCTATCAACTAGTGCACATTAATTTTTTTTCAGATCTTTATCTGGTAATGTATAAGACTCAAATATTCTTCAATCAACTCATTCTCAAATCTGTACTGTAGCATTAGAGAGTATGGCAGTGGGGAGGAGGCTTACTAGTAGCTGTGGGAACTGAGCAAATATGATTACTAGAAAATTAGTAGAATTTTAATACATATTAGACAAATGGGACCATGACCATCCTGTGATGTGTATCTCAGATTTTCTCATATAAATATTTTAAATATTAAAGTCTTTGTTGTTGCCCCAGTTGAGGCCTGATCCAACTTCTAGTGAAGTCCATGGGAATTGGATTAGATCCATAGAGTGTAATGTAGCTTCAAGGGGAGACAAAAAGGAAGGGGAATGACTCAAATGACTGGTAAGTTACACTTTAGTCATGAGCCTTTTTTATGTCTGATTAGGGAAAGAGCCTAATGGTAGAGATGCTGTAGGAATACAACACTCTGACTCCCTGAACCTACAAGTTCATAATTCAGCTGTCTTGACTTATTGCAGGGGTAGGCAACCTGTGGCACATGTGCCAAAGGCGGCACGCAAGCTGATTTTCAGTGGCACTCACACTACCTGGGTCCTGGCCACCGGTCCGGGGGGAGGGAGGTGCTCTGCATTTTAATTTAATTTTAAATGAAGCTTTTTAAACATTTTAAAAACCTTATTTACTTTACATACAATAATAGTTTAGTTATATATTATAGACTTTAACATTTTTAGAAGGTCTCTTTCTGTAAATGTGTTACTGGCATGTGAAACCTTAAATTAGAATGAATAAATGAAGACTTGGCACCCCACTTCTGAAAGGTTGCCAACCCCTGACTTATCACCTCAGCCTCCTGAGACAGCTAAGTTACTTATGTATTTTACCATATTATGCTAAAATACAGAAACTTATTGCAAGTAATTTAATTGTTGGTCATTTCCAAATGAGATTTCAAACTTGTGCTGCTATCTGCTGAGAGGTGTTAAAAGTACCCATGCCTTGTTTCTAAGAAAAGGGAGTCACCCAGTGTCTTAACCAAACTATCCCCTCTCCCTCCCTGCTGCCATTGTGAGAATACTGAGACTTTCACCCTATTTTCAGATGTGTTTTAGGAGTGCTGTATTGGAAATGTTCAGGTTGAAAGATTTTATGTGAATATTGTTACTGTCAGACCTCTGGAAACCCCACATGCTTAACTTTTTACATCTCTTTAACTGGAACCAAATTAAATTTGGAATCACACTGGTATCAATCCAGAGTAGTTCTGCTGTCTTCAGCGTAGCGGAGATCAGAATCTGTACCTGCTCCTGCATCTCAGCCACTCTGCCTCCACCTGTGATGAAGGACAGTCAGTGAATGCTGCTTTATAATTGGTCAGAGATTGGTGCCAAAGCCCATTTCTCTTGGAGGCAGCATGTTCATTTGCTAGTGTGGCTTTTTAAATAATTCCTAATTACATGGTTGACTTGAGTTTCATATCTGATGCCTTTTAGTACATCTTAACAGCAATCCCACCAGAAACACTTGCAGAGGTGCTGGAACAATTTTTAATAGTATGGTGCTGAAAACCATTAGACAAAACTGTAACCCCCTCCGCATGATGGAAACCATGCATTGGGTTGCTATTATGATTTCAAGCTAAGGGGTGCTGTCACACACATCCCCTAGCCCTCTGTGATCTTGGTCTACTTGGAACTATAAACTCTCACTT